AACAGCCAGGGTGTTTAAGCCCGGAAATAGGGAGCCAAAAGACCTGGCCTTTGCCCCTATTACCTTGGGTTATTTGGACAGTGCAAGTCCAAAGGAAAGGGAGTTGTCCACTTTCTGGGAAGTCAGGCCCTCGGGCAATGAACTTCTGGAAAGGTGTGCATGTGTGGGCCTCCCGGTGAAAGGTGGTATTCACTGGAATGGTCCGGTTGTCCTGCTAACACGTTCTTCCCGGAGCCCAAATCATAGAGTCACGGCTGTGCAGCTGGAAGAACCTGGGGGAAAGTGGGACTAGCTAAAGAAATGGGGAAATGATAGTGATTGTTCTTGGGCTACTGTGAGTCCTTTACGTGCTTTCTGTAGGGTAGAGAAAAGGCTGTTCTCTGCCCAGTGGGTGCAGATGTTCCCTTAAGGGCTTGTACAGGGTCTGAGGATAGATAGGTAGGTAGATATGTGCACATATGTATCTCCACATATAAGCATATATGCATATGCACAGATCATGTGTATGTGTACACACCTATATGTATGTGTAAGACATTATTATACCTGCTATTTTGAAGCTCTATCCTGTGATTCCCCAGAGGCCGCACTGGTTGGGGATGGTATGAGCTGGGTGGGGAACCTGCAGCCTTGAGGCCACGTGTGGCCCTCTAGGTCCTCAAGTGTGGTCCCTAGACTGAATCCAAACTTCTCAGAACAAATAAAAGGATTTCTTCTGTAAAATTTGGACTCGGTCAAGAGGCCGCACTTGAGGACCTAGAAGGTCATGTGGTTCCCCACCCCTGTTGTAAGCTAAAGAAGGTGATTAGAGAGCTCACCATCAAACATTGGTCCTGGTTGGTATGAGCCCTTCGAACCTCAGGCCCAGGTTCCATTGGCACATTGGGTGCTCTGTAAATGCTCGGTGGTGTCACAGGGGAGGAAGCTTTTCTCTGTCTGTGTCTCCTGGTGGGCTTGTGCAGCTGTTGAGTTGGAGGACCTGAGCCTGAACGGGCAGTGACTGGCAGGAGCTTAGCCCTTGATCCTTTCTCCAGAGGGGCTCTACCTGTTGCCTGGTTGGCCCCCATGGGGATCATCACAGGGGGCTTTGATCGAGGTCATCAGATTTTCACACTCATTAACATAAAAGCGAACCTTCCACCAGTTCCTTTAACCTTGGAGGGGGCAAGGATGTCTGTAGCATATGAGCTAGCCGTCTCTTGTTGGAGTCACATTTACATGACCCCCCTCCCCATCTCCTTGTCTGATGATCTGTGGTTTGAATGGCCCCCTGGTCTTTTAGGAGCATTAGTGTGTCAGGGGAACCCCGAGGCATGGAGACCAGCTGGGAGATTCCTGGATGAAGACATGCAGCAGGGGGAATGGACAGCCTGAATTGGTGGTGGCCTGGATATGGGGTGCAGGTGTCAGTGTGAGTCTGAGAGGTGGGAAAGCGCAGGAGCCCTCCTGAAACACAGGACCAGTAACCTGGGCATGGTAATGGCGGGACATGATGCCCACTCACATAGAGGCTGAACTGTTCCCCACAAAACCCTCTTTGCCATGTTAAGCCCAAAGCTGATGGCATGGGGTGTTTTCACATACCCTGTGTTACATCTAGAAGTAGTGTGGTGCAGTGGTTAGAATCCTGGAGGTGGAGGCAGGAAGTTCTGCCTTTGCCTCCTATTATCAGGATGATCTGGGATGTCACTTTCTTGCTGTAAGCCTCAGTTTCCTCCTCTGTACTATGAAGGGGTGGGACAAGGTCCAGTTCTCGATCTCGCTTCCTGGGAGTTTCTGGCCTCCTGAAATCCTAGTGCTCATTCCAGGCTCCCATTTATTTTCCATGAATTTGTCTGGACAATGTTCAGTGACTGATCCCCTGTAGCTGCAGCCGGGTGCTGGAGTTGTCATGAGGTTCAGCAAGTGTTATTGGAGAGCAGTGTTGCTCACAGACATCTGGGGGATCCTTCTCTGGAACTGTGTGTGTGTGTGTGTGTGTGTGTGTGTGTGTGTGTGTGTGTGTGTGATAGGGGGAAACAAGCACAGGTTATCTTTCCTCCCACCAGAGCCTGGCTCTCAGGGGCCATCTCTTGCAGCCTTTGGCTCTCTGGGCTGCTTTGCACACAAGTTTTAGCCAGCTCAGGTTGTATTGTCAGAACAGCTCTGGTGTGTGTTCTTACCCAGCCTCTTCAGTGGAAATGAGGCCATACCCACTTTCAGAGTAGATCCTGGCAGATGGATTCCAGGCTCCCCTTTCTCACCTGTCACATAGTGAGAGCATCTTCCCTGGATAAGGCAGCCAACCTGAGCAGGGAGGTGCCAAGAGTGTGGCATTCTGAGCTGTTGGGGATTGTAAGCCTCTCCTCCCCCTCTCAGACCCAGGCTGGAGTCACTTGCCCAAGGATGTCAGTGTGAATAGTGGAGCTGACATCTGGGCTTGTCTTGGGTTCCAAATCCTGTGCTTTTACCACCACATGAGGCCCTTTGCAGGGAGAATGTGCTCGGACACCCATGCCAGTATGACAGATGATTGGTGTGAGAAGGACCAAGGGAAGGTCTGGCTAATGTACTTTAAGAGGTAGCTGAGATCAGAGATGACTTTCTGGAGGAGGTGGCATCTGAATTGGGCCTCAAAGGAAGTTGAGGATCTCAACAGGAAGAGATTAGGGCCCGGCCTGGGTGAGTGCTGGAGTCCAGAGAGGGCAGGACAAGATCCTGAAATGGCTAGCAATCCTGTTGGGCTGGAGCAGAGTGGATGAAGGGGAGAAGAATGTGAAATGAGGCAGGAAATGTGGGCTGGAAGCATTGAATGTCAGGCCAAAAGTGATTGGGAGCCACGGAAGGTTTTTGAGTAGGGCAGAGACAAGATCAGCCCGAGCCTGTTTGTTGGTTATGTGGGAGATGAGGCAGGGAGACAAAGGCTGTTACAAAGTCCAGGTGAGAGGTGATGGGCCCTGAGCTAGGGTGGCTGGTCAGCTGGGTGCCTAGCACTCTTCAGTAGGAGCTTCAGAAGCGCTTGCTGACTCAGTGGGCAGGAAGGTGCTGCCCTCTGGAAGGGTCTGTGCCCGCTTCACCTACCAGATGTAGTAGAGACAGGGCCCCTTGGTCAGTGGGGCTGCTGGGCGGCCCCCTCCCTGTTGGCCAGGTCCACATGGCACACCCCAGCTGGCTTCTGGGGATTTGTCAGGGCCCCGTTCACTCCTGGGGATATGGTGCGGCATGTTCCTGGCTCCTTCCCAGCCTCCTTTGCTGCTCTCTTTAGAATTCCAGAAATGAGGTTCCCTTTTATGTTAATGAGTGTAAAAATCTGATGGCCTCAATTAAAGCCCCCCACCCCACATCATCCCATGATGATGCCCATGGGGACCAGGCCTCATTCCTCCCCCACCGCCAGCTGATATCTGAGGCGGCCTCAGTCAATCGATGAGTCTGGGGCTCGTTTTTCATCAGTGACAGAGGCCTCACTGCCCTGAAGGCTGTGGCTTTAAGGAAACTCTCCTGACTGCTGGGGGAGGGAGGGAAGGAAAGAGGGAGGGAGGGAGGGAGGGCGGGCCAGAGCTGCAGTGTCCTGCCCGTGTTGGGAGAGCGCCTGAGCGCTCGGGGAGCTGGAGGGGGCAGTGGGCCTGTCAGGTAACTGAAGTGCGGGGCTGGCTTCCTCCCTCCCACCCTGCCTGCCTTCTGTGCTGTCCCTGGCCCAGGGGGCGGCCCCAGCACCTGAGCACACACCCGGGAAATGGGCTGCTCGGGCAGCCGGCCGTGCCTGTCCTCTCCGTGCGCTGCTACCAGGGTAATGGGGGGGCCCTGGCTCCCAAGGGGGAGAGGGGCAAGGGCTGGGGCATGCGGCTGCTGGCCGGGAAGGGGCCCCTGCTGCTGCTGGCTGAACTGCAGGAGAGACACCCATCCTGCAGGGATGCAGCTGCACCTGCTGGAGCCGGGTCGGCTTTGCAGAAGGCAAGGGAACCCTGCCTGCCGGCCCACAGCCCTCGGGTGCTGCCTCTCTGGGGGCAGCGTGGCCTGGCTCAGAGGGGGGAGTAGGGTGCCTGGGTGTGTGCCCAGGTGGACATGTGGGTGCTGTTCTTTAGGGGGACTCGAAGGAAGGGGTCCCAAGAAGCCTTTGAGTGCCAGGCAGGCGGACAGCGCCTTGTTCCTGGTGCTTTCCTGAGCGCCCTTCTCTGGGCTCTGGCCAGGGCAGAATTGGGGGGGGGGAGACCGTCCTCAGCTAAGCCAACGGACAAGGAGGGGAGAGTTGGGGAGCCCCCAGAGAGCTCTACTCGAGCCTGGTCTCCCTTTGCCTCGGAAGGGTTGGGGCTCCTGGCTCCTGGCGCCTGGAGCCGGGAGGGGCTTGGTGGAAAACTTTTATGGACCTCTGCATACTTGGAGTGCACACGCGTGCTGGAGTTAGTGCACATGGCTGAGCAGCCCCAGGGAACAGGACATCAAATATTTACCTTGAGCAGATTCGCCTCCTGTTCCCTGGGGTGTGGGCTGTGGGTGGAGGGCTGGGATTCCTTGGTAGGGGGGTGGGGGGCTACCCGGTCAGCGGCAAGGGTCCTTGGCCCCCAGCCTGAAAGTGGCCCAGAGACTGCTGGCTGTGTGTTGGGAGGGAGGGATGTGCGCAGCCCAGCCCCATCCTCTTCCCCATCCTCCTCCCCCTCCCCCAGGCCATCACAGCCCCATCCTCTTCCCCATCCCCCTCCCTCTCTCCCAGGCCATCACAGCCCCACCCAGGCCTTGGCTGCTGCTGCCGCTGCTGCCTGGAGTGAAGATTGGACTGGGCTCCATAAAGAGACAGAGATTGGGGGGTGGGGGGTGTCAGTGCCGGGCTCACTTCCTTAACGACGGCAGAGGCGCCCCTGCTTTTGTACAACGTGAACTGGGAATCTGAGTGATTGCTATCCTGGTTCCTTGCTCCCTCCACTCCCCCGGGAGTCTCGTTTTCCTCCTGGTAACAAATGTGGGTCTGATTGAAGGGGACCCTCATGTAAACACTCTGGTAACCCAATGTGTCTCTTCCGCAGAGGGAGGAAGCTCTGAAACAGCACCAGGCCCTATCGCAAGAGCTGGTCAGCCTCCGGGGAGAGCTGGGTAAGAGAGGGGGCTGAGGGTAGGGAGAGGGAGTGAGTGTGTGAGTGTGAGTGTGTGTGAGTGTGTGTGTGTGTGTGTGTGTGCGCACGTGCGAGTGTGTGTGTGAGAATGTTAAGTGTGTGCTTGTGAGTGTGTGTGTGTACGTGCGAGTGTGTGTGTGAGCATGTTGTTAAGTGTGTGCCTGTGAGTATGTGTGTGTGTGTGCACGTGCGAGTGTGTGTGTGAGAATGATGTTACGTGTGTGCACGTGCGAGTGTGTGTGAGAATGTTGTTAAGTGTGTGCCTGTGTGTGTGTGCACGTGCGAGTGTGTGTGTGAGAATATTGTTAAGTGTGTGCCTGTGAGTGTGAGTGTGTGTGTGTGCACGTGCGAGTGTGTGTGTGAGCATGTTGGGGTGTGTGTGTGTGTGTGTGTATGTATGTGTGTGTGGAGGGCTGTCCTCTAGGGCTGGCCATTGGCTGCCCCAGTGTGTCTGTCTCTGGCTCACTTTGGGTGTCCCTGTGACTGTGTCTGTGCCTGGGCACATCTGTCTGTCCTGGAGCGTCTGCCTGTCCTGCATGCACATCTCTCTGTCATACTTCTCTCTGTCTCATCTTTCTTTCTCTGTGTGTCTCTGACTCTGGGTCTGTCTGAGCCCCAGATGCTGGTTTTTGCTCTGACTTTGTCCTTGTGGGCTGCTCCCTGGCCCCTCCCCCAGCCAAGGCTGGCTTTCTCTGGGGTGTCGGGAGGCAGCTTGGCCGTGAGCTCGCTGCATTCCTGGCACCACCGGCTGATCCACAGCCGGTGACTAAGACACGAGCCCGTCCAGATAGAAGGGGCGATGACTTGGCATTGCTGGTACGCGGCCCAGCCTTCCTTTGGCACTGGCTTCTGCAGGAGCTGCCTGCCTTCCTCTGGTGCAGTGACCAGCCCACCCCCTTGCAGAGGGGGAGACAGGCTTCAGAAGTGAAGTGCTAAGGTCACGGAGGTAGCAAGTGTCCGAGGTAGGGGTCAGACCTGACCTGGTGCTCTAACCACTGATCAACCCAGCTGCCTCCCTGTTCTCCTTCAGGTTCTCTGAAGGGTTAGTGGAATGTTTCACAGATGCTGGTGTGGCACACATGCTTGGGCTACCCAAGCAATTCCTGCATGCCCCTGGGATGGAGGGAGGGCAGACAGGCTGGGTGCTGGGTGCTAGACTTTGAGGCAAAGACCTGGGTTGGAGTCCTGACTGTGGTACTTCCTTGTACAACCTCAGGCCATTCGCTTTGCTCACTTGAGTCTCAATTTTCTCATCTGTAAAATGGGCAGCTGGTGTGGACAGTGCCTTTAGGGACCTCTTTTTGGATCCCCAGCACTTAGCACAGTGCCTGGCACATAGTAGGCACCAATTTCTTTATTGACTGAGGTGCAGAGGAAGTGAAAGCTACATGGATCTGCATTCACATCGTTCTGTAAAACCAAGGTGAGGGCCGCGTAGGGGAAGGGGCCGTGCAGCAGAAGGGGGCTGGCTGCCTTGATGGAGCCCAGGCCCCCCAGCCCTGGGACCAACCCCAGCCTGGCAGTTGGTGGACAGATCCCCTTCCCCACCTCACTGGTGGCTCTGCTGGGGCCAGGTGACCAGATGTGGAGCGGTGCGGTGTCCCGGTCCGTAGGGCCCTGACCTCTCCAGCCCCAGCCTTCCAGAGCCTCATGAGAGTGTCTGGACCCTTGGAGGCCTCCTGCTGTGCATGAATGTGTGCGTGCAGCGACAGGGTGGTAAAGGGGAGGGCAGGCCTGGTTGTGACTGACGGGGTCACAACCAGGGAGTGTCTGTGATGGGCCGAGCTCCTTGGCCGCTATTGCTGGCCTGGCCCTCCCTTTTCCCAGCAGAGAATCCCACAGGCATCAGGTCGCTTGCTCCTCATGCTTCCTTCCCCTCCTGTGGCATCCTCAGGCCCTCGTGGCATCCCAGAGCATGGGAAGGAGAAGGGGCAAGAGGTGGGAGGGTGGGTGCAGAGGGGCTGCGTGGCTCCCGTGGCCACGAGGAATGATGCTGGGCTCACGCCCAGCTGTTCTGCTGTGACCTGCTCTTGTCCACTCAGCTTGGAGCTGGACCGCGGAGGGCTTTAGATGGGAGAGCAGGTGGCCTTTGACCCTGAAGGGGATAGGGAGCACTGGACCTTCTTGAGCAGGGGAGGTGATCAGACCTGGGCTTGGAGCATATTCCTTGGGCAGCCGGATGGCGGCCTGACCCCAGTGGGGAGAGGCTTGGGCTGGCTGCTGGAGCAGCCCAGGCCTGAGCCAGGGGGAGGCCATGCGAGCAGGGGAGAGGGCTGAGCTGGGGAGAGGGCGTAGAGGCCAGGGGGCAGTTTGGGCCCCGATGGGGCTGCTGTGCTTGCTGCCGCGTGAGCCCCAGACAAGGTGGCGAGTGGGAGCGAGACAAAAGGGGGAAAGAAGCCGCCTTTGTTTCCTGGCGTTGATTCTAAAGGGCGGGAGAGGAAGGGGGCCATTGCCCCGGCCTGGCCTCCTTCCTGCCAGCACAGGCCGGCCATTCTGGGCGGAACACTACCAGCATTCACTGCCCTTTCAATGGGGACTCCTACGGCTGGCTCAGGTAAGGGCTCCCCGCCTGCCCCCTCGCCTTTGTACCTCCCTGCCTTGTGCCAGGCCCTTTCAGGCATGGTGAAGGTGAGAAGGGCCTGGCGGGCTGCTTTCGTGATAGTCTGAAAGCTGAGATGAGCTGCTGATCCCCCGTATTACTGGGGCCCCCATTACATAATGGGCCTCTGCAGCAGCAGCTGGGCTGGGCTGCCTCGGATGCCCTTGAAACAGCCCAGTGTCTGCAGAATGGCTTGGGCCCCAGAAGGGCTGAGAGCAAGGCTTCCCAGGCCCTGTCTTTGGGGAGACCAGAGCCCCCCAGCCCCGGCAGAGGCTTGGTCCAGGGTTCGATAATGTGGTGGGGGTGGGGTGGCGGTGAACAGCATTAGTGGAAGCCCCCAACCTTCCTCCACGTGGACGGGGGTGTCTTGGGACGCTCAGATTCCGTAGCAGTCTGCCTCATTGGGCAGCGCAGAGCCTGGCCAGCTAGCAGGGAGAGGCCCACAGCTCTGGGGGCTGGGAGACCGTGTCCTGAGTGCCTTCTTCTGACTCAGTCATTCTCACCATGCTGCTGGAGGGTGTTCTTGTTTGCCCAGATGGTGGCGGAGTCGAGTACCTGCCCCCTTCTTGACCAGCTGCCCATGTGGTGCAGTGCACCATCCTTCTGCCCCTGTCCTGCCCATGGCTGGCCACGGGACTTGGCCTGCTCCTGGCCCCTTTGGATTTTCCAGCTTGGCTGAGGAAAGACTTTTCTCTACTGCGTGCCCACTGGCCTGGTCCCCCAGGTGTGACTGCCCTGGTGGAAGGACCGTTTCCATTGCATGTTGGTGTAGGTCAGTCACTGACCATCCTCAAGAGTGAATGAATGAATGGGTAATTGTGTATTAAATGCCTACTATGTGCGTGGCAATAGGAATGAGAAGACAAGTGAATGTCCTTGCTTTCGCTCAAGCAGACGACATTTTGGGATGGTGGCCAGGAAGAGGTGGTTGGTCTGGGAGTCATTGGGAGGGGTCCTACCGCCAGAAGCAAGGCTACTATTGATTTGAAAGAGATGAAGGGGGAGGGGCCAGATGGCTCTGAGGTGTGGGCAAGAGCCAGGCCTTTGGGCCCCTGGCCAGGCCCAACACGAGTGGACTGACCCCCGTCAGGGAGGGAGGCGTGTCTCTGGCCCATGGAAGAGGCCGGTGCCCTGGCAGATCTGCCCAGATGTCCCCCCACACTACAGTCAGCCACCAAGAGTTAAGTGCCTACTGTGTGCCGGCCACAGAGTGAGGATGTTGTTGTCCCGGGGAGCTCACCAGCTCCCTCCCATCTGTGGGCTTGGTGTGGGCAGAGGGTTATTGCTGTTCTAGCTGCAGCCCCAGAGGAGACTTCCCACCACCAGGACAAAGTCCAAGCACCTCTCTTCCCGGAAGCCGCCCTCCCTTCCCAGCCTTTTCTTGCCCGATGCCTCATTCACCATCCGCCTCCTCCAGGAAGTATCCCTAGCTTGCCCCTCGGGTAATGACTGCTTGTGCCACGTGGCGATGGGTACCTCGGAAGCCCACCTGTTCTCCATTCCCCAGCCCCGAGGTGGTTACTGACGGTCCTCCTGCCTCCACTCTGTGCCCGGTGTCCTCCGTCTTTCCCACAGGGTCAGTGAAATCTTCCCTGGGTGCAGCTGTGAGCTTGCTCCTCCTCCCCTCCAAAGCCCTCCGTGGCTCTCCGTTGCCACACTGTGAGGTAGAAGCTCCTGGTCCTGGCATTCGAGGCCTTTTCGATTCAGACTTCAGCCAGCGTGGCTGGCCTTGGGTCCCAGGAGCGAGTCCCCTTCATGGGTCTGTGCTGGCATGTTGGGCCACTCTTGATCTCCCTTCTTTCCTGCTCCCTCCCCTTCCTGTGCCTTTGCCTACGTCATCCCTCACACTGGCCTGGCCTGGCCTGGCCTCCCTGCCTCTGCAGGACCGGGAGTGTTTCCCGGCCAGCCTTGTATCCCGACTCTTCCTGGGGCCTCTCACATAGCAGGGCTGAAGGCGAATGGGGGTGACGTGAGATGGGTTAGAGCCTGGAAGTATGTGACCACTGAAGGTTGTCCCTGGGGACGATTGGAAGAGCCTCCTGGCCCTCCAGCCTCCCCCAGGCCAGATGACATCTTTTCTGCCTTTAGCTCTGACCCCGTATGGGGGAGAGGGGAGAAAGGGGGGAGGGGATGAGCTATTGTCTTGAACTATAATTCAGTATTCTATCTGTCGAGCCCAATTAGCGCCTTCCTGTAAAGGGTGGTAATTGCTACTGAGCTTTCCGAAGTGAGCTCCCTGCCCTGATGGGATGTGAGGAGGTGACGCTGAGTCACCAGGTTTTAAATTAGGAAGCCCGTCAGTGACGGGAAATTGTAACTTGGGCTGAGTGGATGAGGATGTGCCAAGGGGGCGGGGGTGTGTGACGGGGGTCCATTGATCGGTGGCCAGACGGCTCCGAGCACACTTAGTGCTGATTGGCTCAAGTGGGGATGACCTGCCGCAGCTTAAAGACCGCTGTTGTTCCAGGACACCCCCACCTCCGGGTCACCACCTCCTTCTGGGAGATACTCACTGCTCCCAGAGGGTTTCCTCTTGTGCAGGTGACGAAGGCTGGACACTGGGGGGCACTTCTATGTGCATGGGATAGCAGCTGAACAGAGAGCCAGGGGTTGGGTGGAGAGGAAGGCTGTAGCCCAAGGGATGAACTCCCTGAGGAAGGAGAAGAGATGGTCTGGAAGCCGGAAGATGGCTGTGACCAGGATCTGGACAGGCAGAGATGGAGGGAGGAAGGAACTTTAGGAATTATATTCTTTTTTTTTATTAATTTATTTTGATTTATCAATAATCACTTCCATATGCTTTTGAGTTTAAAATTTTTCTCCCCCTTCCTCCCCACCACCCTCCCCAAGACGGTGCACAATCTGATATAGGCTATACATTTACATTCATATTAAACATTTTTTCACATTAGTGATGTTGTAAGTAGAAATTAAAACCAATAGGAGGAACCATCAGAAAGAGGAAACAAAACTCAACAGAAGAGAAAAAAATAGCAATTCAGCTTCCATAGTTCTTTCTTTGGATGTGGATAGCATTTTCCATCACAAGGCCTCTGGAGATGTCTTAGATCCTCATATTGCCAGGAAGGGTTAAGTTTATCAATATTACTCATCATGCAATGTGGCTGTTATTGTGCACAATGTTCTCCTGGTTCTGCTCACTTCACTCAGCATGAGACCATACAAGTCTTTCCAGGTTTTTCTGAAGTCAACCTGTTCATCATTTCTTATAGCATAATAGTATTCCAAGGAACTATATTCTTGAATGAGATTTTGTACCTCTTTTACAATTAGGCCATTTTTTTTAAGGTGTTACTTTCTTCAGTATTTTTTGTCTTGTTTACCAAACTGTTAACTCTCTTTTCATAATTTTCTTGTATCATTCATTTCTTTTCCCAATTTTTCCTCTACTACTCATATCTTTCTTTAACACTTCTAGGAATTCTTGTTTGTTTTGAGTCCAAATAGCATTTTTCTTTGAGGCGTTGCTTGTAGCTGTTTCCACATTGTTTTCTTCTGACTTTATATCTTGATCTGTGCCTCTGGATACTAACTGGCTTCCTCATTGGAGAAGAACGTGGCTTGTATGTGTGTTGTGTGATGGTGGTGTTCAGCCTGATGATGTGAAGATTGGGGAGGGATGGGTGTCACAGCTGTCCCCAAGTGTTTCAAGGGCCCTTCCCTGGATGAATTAGCCCTGTCCTGTTTGGTCCTTAGTTTAGAACAAGAGGCCAAGGGCAGAAATGGCGGGGGCAGGTCTAAAATAAGGCCCCTAGGAGCAGAGAAAAGGGTTCCTGGCTGGAACAGGTGGTCTGGGAGGGGGGTGAGCTCCCTTTCCCCGGAGGCCTGCCTTTCAGCCGAGGCTAGGTGAGCATGGGCCCACAGGTTCCAGGGGAGATCCAGCCCCTGAGATGGCTCCGAGCCAGCAGTCCCAGCACTTCGGATTGGAAGGGGCTTCAGCATCCCCACTTTCACATCCCTGGCCTCTGCTTGGAGACTTCCAAGGACAGGGAGCTCACTTCCAGCCAAGGACGGTCCACTCCCCTCTGGGAGCACACTGGGTGTCAGGGAGAGTTTCCTTGGATTGTGGTCCTCCCCTGGTGACCAGCCTGCTGGTCCAGCCTCGCCTCTCTGGGCTGGGCTGGCCCCGGGGAGCCCAATAAACGGGACTTTCATAGCTGGGAGAGTGAGGTCTCTTTCCTGTTGTGTTCCCCGCCCTGGCTGCAACATTGGGGCCCTCTCTCTAGTCACTGCTTCTGCCGCCTGCGAGAAGCTAGAGAAGGCCCGGAACGAGCTGCAGGCCGCGTGCCAGGCCTTTGTGGACAAGCTGAACCGGCAGCACCAGGCGGATCTGGCAGAGCTGGAGAGCCAGCTGAAGGCTCACTACGCGGGCGAGTGTGAGAAGCTGCAGAGCGTGTGTGTGCAGGAGGTGCAGAAGTACCAGGCCCAGCTGCAGAGTCAGGTGAGTGCCTCAGGAGGGGGCCTGGGGAGACAGCCGCGGAGGCCGGTCTCCTGCCTGAGCCTCAGGTTTGTGGCCGGGTAAATGAGCCCAGAAGAGCAGTGTGCTTTTTCAGTCTTAATGAGTGTAGAAGTCCAGCTTGTCCCTGGGCTTGCTGTCACAAAGCGCCGGCCGCCATGCCTGCCCGCGAGCTCTGATGGGAAGTGCTGCGGCTGTTCGTTCGGTGCCGCGTCCGCAGCCTGGCGGGGAGCTGTGCGCAGGTCCCCATCTGACAGATGAGGAAGCAAGCTCAGAGGGAAGGGGGTCCCCTCATGCAGCTCTGAGACCCCATCACGCCCCAGGGCTTCCAGGAGGACTGTGCCGCTGGAGTTTCAGCGTGCAGTGTCCCAGGTGAACCGAACTGTCTGTGGCGATGGGTGGGAGGCCCGAAAGGCACCATTCGCTGGTCAGAAATCTCCTTATTCAGCCTCCTCACTGACAGATGAGGACACTGCGGTCCACTGAGGCCAGGTGGGATTTGAACTCAGGTCCTTGGGTGACATATACTGGCGTGCTGTGCCCTCGACCACACAGTCTCCAACTTGGCTTCCGCTGGGGAGATCTGCTGTGATCACAGGCGGGGTTGGGTGGGCCTGGGGGACTGAGATTGGCCTCTTGGAGGAAGAGCCCTTTGAGCTGAGCCCTGAGGAACTCAGGGCTTCCAGGCAGAGAGGCCAGCAGCCATGCTGTTCTCGGCTAGGTGCTTCCCCAGCCTCCATGAGCAGGAGCCCTCTGCCTCTCCCAGCACCCCACTTTGAGAGGGAGTGCTGCCTCGCTCCCACCCCAATCAGTCCCAGACGACTCGCACTCATTCCTGCTGGCTCTGCCTTCGGCCAAGCAGAGAAGCTCGAACCCTTCTTCCGAGTCCCCGACAATTGTCTCTTAGGTGCCCCCGAGTCCTCTGCTGTCCCAGCTAACCCCCCATCACTTAACGGAGCCTCTGACAGCCTGGTACCGGGCCCTGCCACCACCTCTGGTGGCTGACAGCCAGTCTGTGGAGGAAGACTCGGCCACATGGGCCCTCGGGCCGCAGGCAGACTGACCGCTTCTGCCCTGGGCTTAGAGCACTGAGCATCGCCTGGGCAGCCCTGGGCACAGATGGAGCAGGGCTTGGGGGAGGAGGGCCCGGCGAGCAGAGGCGGGAGGCCCAAGGTCCAGAGGGTCACGGCATGTTGTCTCCCCAAAGTGGACCTGAGGCCAGCTGCCGGTGCCCAGTAAGCACTTTAGAAGTGATGAGCAGTTGGTATCCATGAAGCAGAATTGGGTCGTCAGTGTGCACATTGGCTACAGGTATACAAGAGGAAATTGTGTGTGTGTGTGTGTGTGTGTGTGTGTTTGAACATGTACGTACACGAACACACACATACCACCCAGGTGCACACATGTACCCACTCATGCATGCATGTACACAACACCCAGGTGCACACATGTGCTCGTTCATATAAGCATGTACACACACCATGCATGTGCACACACGTACCTGCTCATACACACATGTACACACACCACACAGGTGCACACATGTACCTGCTCATACACACATGTACACACATACCACCCAGGTGCACACATGTACCCATTCACACATGCATGTACACCCACACCATACAGGTACACAATGTACACACATGTCAGATTGGGTCAGAAAATTTAGAACTCAAAAGTGTGTGCTGTAGACAACCCCCCTACCCCAGACATCTCCAGAGCTGCTGTAGACAGCTCCCCCGCGAGCTCTGATGGGAAGTGCTGCTGCTGTTTGTTCAGTGCCGTGTCCGCAGCCTGGCGGGGAGCTGTGCGCAGGTCCCCATCTGACAGATGAGGAAGCAAGCTCAGAGGGAAGGGGGTCCCCTCATGCAGCTCTGAGACCCCATCACGCCCCAGGGCTTCGAGGAGGACTGTGCCGCTGGAGTTTCAGTGTGCAGTGTCCCAGGTGAACCGAACTGTCTGTGGCGATGGGTGCTCATATACACATGTACACACACACACCATACAGGTGCACACATGTACCTGCTTGTACGTGCATGTATACACACCATGTAGGTGTGCACATTTATCTACTTGTACATGCATGTACACATACACACCATGCAGGTGCACACATGTATCTGCTTGTACATGCATATACACACATGCATACCACAGGTGCACACATGTACACACACACACACACACACACCAGGGAGGAAAGGCCTGAGATAGTGAAAGGGGACACAGCACCAGGGAATCGCTGAGTTCCAGATAGCTTTATGTTGGTCATTAAAAAAAAAAACCCAAACCTTAGTTACCAAGTTTAATTGGTTTTATTAGCATTTAAAATTAAATTCACCCTAAAGCTCCGGTTTGAAGAAAAAGAGAAGGCTCATATTTCCTCCTCCCACCCCTCCCCCATCTCCGGCACCATGCCTCCCCCCCACCCCCCACCTCTAGTGCTGCCAGAGAGAGCTGCTGCACCCCCCTCCCTCTAAGACCCCTTTAAGACTGTTTCTAACCATTGCAGCCAAGCTGGGGCCTTTTGCTTTAATACACCAACATACCTTCCTGGAGAATCTCAGTGATGTGCTGTGGATGGAAACCTTCTGGTCCTAGTGGCCCACAGTCTGCTGAGGACCCACTTCCCCCCGGCCAGGTGACCTGAGGCTGAGCCTGGGACAGGCCACAGCTAGACTTGTGTGCTCCCCAAGGCATGAGGCTAGCGTTCAGATGACACCCTAGCTTTGATTCTGTGCGGTACCACGGCCATCTGATCCTGACGGACAGGGCTTTCCCCTGCAGGTTGATGACTTAAATGCTGCCCACGAAGCCTTCAAGTTGGAAGTCGAGTCCAGCCATTTGGAGCAAGTCGATTTGCTGAAGAAGGCCTACGAAGCCTCCCTCACAGGTAAGAAAGCTCTCACCCCCTCACAGATGGCCAGTGATGGACCAGCATCACCTGCTAGCTCAGAGAGAAGCCGCTGGGGCCACCCTCCCGAGAGCTGACGCAGCTGCTGCCTTCCTTAGCCTGGAGATGCTCCGGGCCCCTCCTTGTGATGCTGCCGTCCAATGCTGGGTCCTTCCCTGGGGTGCAAACAGAGGGTTCTCTTCAGGGCTAGCCTGGGAGGTAGAACGCTGGCCTTAGAGTGACCTAGAAGCCCATATTTGCCACACTCTTTTTTTTATTAATTTATTTTTGGATTTCAGCAATCGCTTCCATAAGCTTTTGAGTTCTAAATTTTCTCCCTCCCCACCTCCCTCCCCAAGACAGCACCCAATCTGATATAGGTTCTACATATACGTTCCTATTAAACGTATTTTCACATTAGTCATGTTGTAAGGAAGAATTAGAACCAATAGGAGGAACCACCAGAAAGAGGAAACAAAACTCAACACAAGAAACAAAAATAGCAAATAGTCTGCTTCGATGTACATTTAGACTCCGTAGTTCTTTCTCCGGATGTGGATAGCATTTTTCATCACGAGGCCTTGGGAGACGTGTTAGATCCTTGCGTTGCTGAGAAGGGCTACGTCTACCAAAGTCAGTCATCGCACAACAATTTGCCACACTCTTAACCTGAATTTTATGGGTACTTTGAGACTGGCCTTTGGGGCACTGGAGAGGATGCTTGACTTGAGGTCAGGAAGACCTGAGTTCAAATCCAGCCTCAGACACTTAGTAGTTGTGTGACCCCAGGAGAGCCACTTAACTTCTCTGTACGTCAGTTTTCTCGTCAGTAACATGCAAACAAGCTTTGTGCAGGAAAAACGGGACAAAGGAAGAGACGGAAGGCTGCCCCCCATCCTGAGGCTCCCCCCAGTCGAGGCTGTTGGTCCCTAGAGTAGGGATCCAAGTGAAGTTTGTCCCTTCCTCATGTCCCACCCTCCTGTCCTTATCTCATATTAGCTTCCTCTCTTCCCAGGTGGGGAAGAAATACTGGCAGGGTCTTTGCAGCCCGTTGGAGCCTGGCAGGAGGGTTGTTACAATAGCGTTGGGGGAGGGGGCTAGTAGCCTTACCAGGCGTGAGCGCAGGCCTTGTTTGCCTCGCTTCCCTGAGTCCCCAGACCTTTCCTTCACCTGGACACACTGGGGACTCACATCATTCGTACATTCTCTAAGCTGTCAAGTGTTCAGGGCCCCAGTCAGCCAGTTTGGAGAACTCTGACTTAGAGCCAGAGAAGCCCCTGAATGGAGTAAATGTGGGCTCGTCGTGGGGGTCACCTTGAGGCTGGGCTGGGTCTCCCAGGATGGAGGTCACTGGCCTCGGGAATATCGCCTCTTTTCAGAAATCAAGGAGAGCCATGACCTGGAGAAGACGTCCCTGGAGGAGCTGTTCTCTGAGAAGCGTGAGTCGCTGGAGGTGAGCGACCCCCCAGACCAGGCCCCTGGCCTGCGAGGGCAGACCTAGGGGTCCCTCATTTCATGACCGATTTTCTGCCACCTTGGATGTCCTATGTCATCTGTCTTGTTCATAGAAAGAGATCCACGATCTGAAGGGTAAGAACGATGCTCTGAATGAAAGGCTTCAATTGGAGGAGCAGAAAGCAGCTTCCAGAGAGAAGGCCAGCCAGGTGAGTGATGGCAGCACCTAGAGGCTGCGGCCTAGGGGCGGGGATGGAGGGCAAAGCCTGGCATCTGGGGAGGCGTAGCTGCAGTGGCTCTGGGGATGTCTGGGGTGGGGGAGCTGTCTACAGCAGCTCTGGGGATGTCTGGGGTGGGGGGGCTGTCTACAGCAGTTCTGGGGGTGTCTGGGGTAGGGGGGCTGTCTACAGCAGTTCTGGGGGTGTCTGGGGTAGGGGGCTGTCTACAGCAATTCTGGGGATGTCTGGGGTGGGGGAGCTGTCTACAGCAGCTCTAGGGATGTCTGGGGTAGGGGGGTTGTCTACAGCAGCTCTGGGGAGGTGTAGCTGCAGCGGCTCTGGGGATGTTTGGGATGGGGGGGCTGTCTACGGCAGCTCTGGGGATGTCTGGGGTGGGGGGGCTGTCTACAGCAACTCTGGGCATGTCTGTCCAGGGGAGGGAGCCTGTCTGAAGCAGCTCTGGGGATGTCTGGGGGGGGATGTCTGGGGTAGGGGGGATGTCTGCCCAGGGGAGGGAACCTATCTGCAGCAGCTCTGGGAATGTCTAGGGTGGGGGGTTGTGTATGGCTGTCTTGAGGATACCTGTTGGGGAGCCTGTATACACTGGCTTTGGAGAGGTGTCCAGGTGGAGGTTGTCTTTGGTATCTTCAGGGATGTGTCCGGGAGGATCCCTTCCTACAGCACCTTTAGAGATGTGTTGAGGGGTCCTTGTCTACATCAACCTTGGGGATATGTTTTTGAGGGGACCTGTCTACAATGGCTTTGGGGATGTGTCTAATAGGATAGCAGAAATGAGCAAAGTGGGCCAGTGTCAGACAGGTTTGGAAAAGCTGCTCTTAAAACCTGACCTAAGAAAAATTCATCTCAACTCAACATACAGCACCTACTGTGTGCAGGACTTGCATATGGTACCTACAGTCTGCAAAACATCCATGCTCAGTGTTGGAGGAGATACAAGGTTTCATTTAGGCCCCACCGCGCTCTCATTGTGCTTGGAAGAGACTGACCTAGGCACCAATGAGTGTAATACAAAGTAGCGAGTTGGAAAGAGAAGAGCAAGCCATGTGTCGTGAAGGGTCCCCATCGGAGGCTTCCTGCAAGAGGAGCATTGCAGTGTGATTTAGAAGAGGAATAAATAGCAACCAAGAGAAAGGGGGGAATGCCATTCCCCACAGAGGGACCTATTGGTGCAGAGATGCCGAGGTAGAGAAGTGTGTATGGGGAAAAGCAAATAGTCCAATGTGGTGGGAGAATAAAGAGTGAATGGAGGGGAGTGATAGGACACAGGGCTAGAAAGGTAACAATGTTGAATGCCAAGCCAAAGAACAGATAGAGCTTTGCTTGGTAGGGACTAGGGAGCAACAGAAGAATTTTGAGCACAGGGGTGACCCGAGCAGACTAGTGTATGAGGAAAATTATTCTGGCAGCATCCACAGGATAGATTGGAAAGATGAGAGAGCAGAGGGGAGAAGGCCTATGTGAGGGTGGGGGTAGCAGCTGGAATAGAGGCAGTGACCTAATGGAAAAGCTGCCAGACTAAATGTCCAGAGAGAGCCGACTCCTCATATGTAGCTGTCCGTGTGACCTTGGGTGAGTCACCTCGCCTCTATAGACCATTTCCTCATCTCTGCCAAGACAGCGGCCTCAACCATAGAATCGCTGACCCAGAGCTGGGATGGAGCTCCAGATGGCTAGGCCAATCCCCTCATTGTCTGATGAAGATGCCGAGGGTCAGGGAGAAGAGTGACTGGCCAGGTAGCAAGTAGTTGAGCCAGGATTGAGCCCGGGTCCTTGGACCAGCTCTCTTCTCCTCGTGCCTTGCAGTTCCCTAAGGTCTCCCAGCTCCCTTTCGCTTCCCGGTGTCTGGTGGTGCAACTTGCACGGCTTTTCCTTGAACTGACTCTTTGGGGGGTGTGGATGACGTCGCCTCCTCATGGCCAAGGGCAGGCTTTTCCAAAGAGGCTTCATGTCCTTTTCTCATGACCTCTGTCCCGTCCCCTGCCCCAGCTCTGGTGCTGACAGTTGAGCTGGGAAAGACCATCACCTTATGTATCAGAAGAGGAGCTGAGGCTCAGGAGTTGCCCCTGACCTGGAAGGCAAAGCCCGCTGCCTTGAGTCAATCTCCTTTTCTTTCTGATCGATTTCTGAGCAGTCGGTGTGCCTGGGCAGAGGAGCCCTGGAGATAGGCCGAGGTTTGGAGTCCCAGCATGGCCTTTTACTAGCTGGTTGACCGGGGCAGTCACTTCACCACCTGGTGCCTCGGTTTCCCAAGCTGTACACTCAGGATGTTACTATGGGGGCCTCCTACCTGCAAGCATTCTGTAAATGGCAATGTGTTCTGAGTGGAGGGGCTGCCATCTTTGGCTGGAGACCAAGCCTGACCTTGGGGCTCTCTCCACTTATCTCTGCAGAAGAACCCCCAGATCATGTATCTGGAACGGGAGCTGGAGAGCCTCAAGGCCGTGCTGGAGATCAAGAATGAGAAGCTGCACCAGCAGGACGTCAAACTGCTCAAGATGGAGAAGCTGGTGAGCTGCCTCCCCTAGGTCACCAGATCCCATGGGCAGGAGGGCTGCCATGTGGCTCCTGCACCAGGACGCCAGGCATGTGAATGCGGGGAGGGACCTTCCTCCACCCGCTGTGGCCGGCCAAGGTCCTTGCCCGCCGCGGCCGGCCAGCCAGGGTCCTCACCCACTGCTAAGAGGGAAGGAGCACAGGTCACTGACATTGGCATTGTCAAACTCTTCTATTCTTTGTGGACTAGGGAGAGAGTGGGAGGACACTAGAACCAGTCGTAAGTGGCCTGGGCTGAGTCTGCCTGGCAGCTGCCCTCTGGACCACTAGGGGAGGGTCTGGCTCACTGAGAAGTTTGGGCCCTCGTGGCACCTGGACCGTGGTGTGACGTCTGTGGCTCTGGCAGCCTCCGCCCTGGAGTGCGTGCATCAGCCCAAGTGGGAGGCGGGCTGGGGAGGAGGACCGCAGCTGGCGTGGGCCTGGCCTGGCTGTGCTTGCCTCTGGCTGGCACCAGTCGGTGCCCAGGCTGCCCCAGTCACCAGGAGGCTGGTTCAGATCTGGAGCAGGACTGTCACAAGAACAAAACAACCGCAACAAAGACACCAGCTCCCATGCGTGGTCTCCCCCTTCCTTGGGCAGCACACTGATCCACTGTAGAGGAGCAGTGGGCGGGCGGCCAGCCGGCCTTGGCCTCAGAAAGCCCGGGGTCAGCTCCTCCCGCTGGCTGACTAACCCGCCTGCTGGGTGTGTTGCCCCAGCCTCTCCCCACAGGAGGGAGCCCCTGTAACGATAGGGTCTCAGGGCTGGCCCCTGCTCCCCACCTTGTCTGGGAAGCTCAGGTGCCAGGCCATCTCCTCTTGGGAAAGTGAGTGGGGAGGAGTCTGCGACCAGATGTGTGGAGCAGTTGTCGGCCTCTCCTGGGGGAGCAGTTTGCCTCCTTCCCAAGGCATCCGAGGGGCACAAGGAAGCTCGGAGGAAGGTCCAGGGCAGCCCTGCCCCTTGGTGGATGCTCCCCCAACATCTGGTGAAAGGAAACGTGGAGCTAGGAAGCATGGTGCCGAGGACTGGCAGGACTTGGTCACCTCTGCCCTTATGGGGCATTGCCATTGGCCATCCATTGGCATCAGTGCCTGGCAGTGCCAGACAGGCCCCAGGCAGCAGATGGGCCCCAGGTGGATATGGTCAGACCCCTCCATTCTTTGTGGGTAAGGATTGTGAGTGGGAAAGTGGTCTGGCTGCCCCAGGAAGGGCTGAGTGCCCCTTCCTGGCAGGGCTTCCAGCAGAGGTAGGAGGGCCACTTGGCAGAGACACTTGGGAGAGGATTCTTGGTCCAGAGCAGGTTTGGCCTAGCTGGGAGTTGAGGTCTCTGCCAGGTCTGCGGTGACCTAGGGACTCGCCTAGCAGTGTCTACTTTCATATGGGCAGCTTCCTGGCTAACATCGCCAGAGGCTGGGACCCTTTGGTGCTGTCAGGTTCCCTTCACAGTGAATTAGCTGTGTGTGCCAAGCTCTGGGTGGGCAGGGGCCGGGGTTTGTCTTTGCCCAAGAAGTACATGAGCTCTGACCACCAGCTGCTTTGCACCAAGGTGGACAGCAACACTGCCCTGGTGGACAAGCTGAAGAGGGTCCAGCAGGAGAATGAGGAGCTGAAAGCACGAATGGACAAGCACGTGGCCATCTCCAGGTGAGATCCCCCGCCCTGACCTCAGGGCCTCCCTGCCTGCTCCCTGGCCCATCGAGCCCCCACCAGCAGTCGGAGGGGATCACTGAGGTGGGAGGGGACAGGGCGATTTGCTCAGCTTTGCCTGGGGTGCCTGCTTCTCTCTCTATCTCTCCCCTCTCCCCTCCTCTCTCTCCACCCCCTTCTCTCCCCCCCTTCTCTCTCCCCCTTCTCTCCCCCCTTCTCTC